AAGTGCAGCAGTAGACAGCATGGTTAGAAGTAAATGACTGATTGCTTTGGGTCATGATTTCCAACATAAGTTTCTGTTACCAACAGTTCATGCATTAGCAGTGATAACCTACTTTGGCTAAAACTTGGCATAAAAGAATTTAATAATTTTTTAAATGTTAAAAGATTGCCAGGAAATAGACATATTCAACAGGAATTGCAAAACTTGTGTGTGTTTTTCAAAAGGCGATTTAACAAAGTACACTACAGCAGAGAACAGCTTTATTTACGCTTTGCACTTGCTTCGGCTTTAAGCCTATTGAAAATATATCTGCTGTAATACAAGGCAAGCAGTGGCTTAAGGTAAGCCCTATGTCTCTTTGTACGTCACCTGTGGGTGCACACTGGGAAAGCATTCCAGATTTCTCACACTGCACTTTGGGTGGAGCTGCACCATCCAGCCTCCCTTGAGGCTGGTTACAGAGGCACGGGCTCCATCTCCTCTGCCTTCCAGTTGTGTTTGTAACACAAGCCCAGTTTCCTGGGGCAGCTTTAAATCCTTTTACTGGGGATATCTGTGACTGACTAGCTGGCTGAATGGCTTTAAAAACATTAGCTTCAAATAATACTACTCATCTTTCAGATGTGCAAAGCTGGGTACAGCACAGTAAATGTACTAATAGCCTTACAGTCCTTGGTTTTAACAGTTTTCTTTGCTTGTTCTTGTAAATTGCTGTTGGCTTACGGACCTTCATCCCTCTGTTCTGCCTGTCCTTCTGCAGCAGGCACCCAGTCACAGTGTTTGTCTTGGTCAACCTGTTAGATTTCAGTAACTTCTCCTGCAGAAAATCTGTGCTCTTTAGGCAGGTAAAACTTCCATTGCGTTGGGGCACAATTCCGTCAAAAAGTAGTAAAACAAAGGAAAATAAAATAAATAGTAAAGTAAAGCTAATTAATGCTAATGATAAGAATATAGACTTCCCTTTATACCATCTTGCTGTCTTCGTTTCCAGTAACTAAGATATTTCCAGAGAATGTGATAGTAATGAAGAACTGCAACATGTATAACACAACTTAAAAAATAAATATCTAATTTTTCAAAGTACATTTGTTCATTTGTTTTAAGAAAAGTTCCATCAATCCTAGTTGCACTTGCAAATTACTTACATGATATGAAATGTTGTGAAACCTGGGTACCAATGCTAGGAGATAGTCACTGGTCAAAACAAAGAACTCTGCATGGAAGCAAACAAGAGGTAACAGATTTATGCATGAGCCCTTACTTTCAGTTTTCTGAATTTCCATTTAATCCATAAAGAAAAGTAACTGCTTATATTCTCTTCTACTTCAGACAGTTAACAATTTGTAAATAAAAGTGACTTAATTGTTATTTGAGAATAGTAACTGAGAAAGTCAAGACAGCCTGTTCTATCTTTACCTGTAGTCTATGCATAGAATTCTTTCCCACACTTGCTTGGCTCGGTAGTTGTGCCTGGTAGCTGTTGTACTTGATTGTATCTGCTCGATTTACACGTGAAATTTTTCATCCTACTGCAAAAGCTATGCAGATTCATGCTGGGCGCTCTGTCATGCTGTATTCATCTACTGTAATGAACAATAAAAACATTCATGTAACAAATGAAAAAATGACTAACAAATTAAAAAATCACTTATACCTAATTCTGTAATGTCCATAGCTGTATATTTACAATTACATTATTTTTCAGGACCATTATTAAGAGTAGAGCTTCAGAATTCCAATACAAAGAAGGGCTTAAATAAGTTTAAGAGCAACATAATATCCAAATGTTTTGGACTGTATCATGTTATCTTTATTTCAAGCAATATGGTGAAATCATATTTTGCGTCTTGGCTTTTGTTTAAAAAAATGTAAAAAAAAAACTATCAAAGCTAGCAGCATCTTTTTCTTTGATAGTGTCTAAACAACATTGTTTAACATTTTTAATTATATTTTTTATCTGAACATTGGAACAAATCTTGAGCTACCATAAATGTCCAAAGTCTTGCAAAAAGTCAAGTTTGTTGTGACAGTGTCAGGATTTTGATTTATACGTTCACTCACTTTCCTGCTATCTGGATTATATTGCGGTCCCTGGGACCATGAATCTCCATTCATAGCTTTGAATAGCTTCAGAGTTCTTGATGTGACTGTATTTTGTCAACAAGAAGCTGTGCCTCTGTCCCCATTTGTCTTTGACAGGCCCATCTCAGGAAGTGAGAACAATGTCAGAAAAACCCAGAGGAGATAAAAACCTTAAAAACCTAAACGTGCTGAAAGTATCTATTACATCCTTTCATTTACACACTGGACAAAGCTCACTCTGGAAGGCTTGAGTTAAAGTAAGATCTGCTCAAACTTGTTAGGGCTACATAGCACTCAGGCAGAGCTGGAGTCAAACCCAGGAATTTCTTGGCTCCTGCCCTCAAATTTAGATTCTTGGAAAGCAGTTGTTATTTCTGGTGGATGAGGGACTAACATGATTGTCTACTGAGGTCTACCAGACCAAATAGAAGGCACACTTGATGGTACGGGACTAAACCTTTGTCCTACTCAGCTCATTTCATGTGTGTATCTTTGCAGAAGTGAGACTTAAGAAGGAAACTAAATGCAGGGAATGTGTGAGAGTTCTGAAGCAGTATTGTGTGTGACACTGAGCAAGCAGTTTGCTTCAGTACTTACCAGCATCAACGGCTAAGCCTGTAGGTGCCACTGAGTATTTTTGGGCACTCACAATTCAGCTCTTGATGTCTGGGTAGCAGAGGCAAGAGATGCTGGAATTTCTGTTTGATTTGTTGTCTAAGTCCATAACTATGGATAGATGGTTACTGTACAAAACCAGAAATTTCCCCATAAAATGGAGGAATGGATGCGCACCTTGGTTTTGCTTGGAAATGACCTAATTTGAGAGTAGAATGGGCAATGTGAGTAAGCAAAGAAAGGAAACATAGCTTTTGGATGGGCATCTCTTTTAAGCCTAGTGAATTACATTGTAGATGCTTCAATCCTTGAAGCTGTCAAATATATTTAAGTGTGGAGTTTTCATTTTCAGGTTCTTAGGATAATTAATGTAATTCTGCTACCTACTTTAGTGGCTGAACAACTTTATTAATACATGATTTTTAGGCATTCTAGAGAATCAAGCTGAAGACAGGTTTGGACATGCTTCCTGTGAATCTTTAGAAAGCTAAAGACATCAAAGTTAAGCTTTGACATTTCTTGCTTTTAAAGTTGTTTTTGTTTGGTTTTGGTCTGTTCCTGCATAGGATTGCGGGTATTAGCTATGTCCATTGTTTCTATTTTCTCTCAGCTTTAGTATGCTTGATTTTTTAATTGTTTTTATCAGTGCCCTCTCTTCCTGCTAGTTAACATGTGCAGCACCCATGCAAATGGCATTCATAATGTTGCCACAATTGAACTGTTATTTCCTTAGTGCATTTCAATTTTAAGTGTAGCATCCAGAATCTGCAAAGTGGAAGCAGCATGTGTGGAAGCAGCAGATTGGTCTATTACAATGCAATCAGTATGATGTTATTTTTCTGCTAGAAATATCACATACTGTGTAATTATTGAAAACACTGTCTTGCAGCGGTGTTGCAGTGTTCTAATTTTTAAAAAGCCTTTGCTTAATGTTTTCTATGTTACGTTATTATATGTGTATCATTTATTTGCATGTACATTTAATCAAATTCCAAAATGTCAATTACTTAGCAACTTCACTGTTTCTCAGTTTATTCCTCTAGCACTTCTTTGGGAGGGTTCAGCCCATAGTAACCATTTTATGCTAATAAATATTTACACTAATGTGAATGCTTGCAAAAAATAAACTGTAGCCCTAACCTTAACACGAATCTGCAACTCCTGAAAGAGTTCACAAGTAACGGTCCCTGAAAAAAAGAGAACCTATTGCAGCCTGACAGAGCACATACAGAAATACAGTAAAGTTTGTGAGCAGCAAGAATACTAACTGATACACTCACATGTGCACCAAACTTGTGATGGCAAAATTAAACTTCTGGTGTCATGCAGAATGCTCAGGTCTGCCATAAAGCTGATACATTAAAGGTAAACAATACATAAAGTGTAGTGCTTTGCTTTTGTTTCAAGATTCAATTACAGAATCACTTGTAACTATGTATCTATAAAACTTCTTATTTAAGAAATAATGCATGCAAAAAGCACGCAGTTATTTCACTTAATGATTCTTTCAGCATGCAAAATATTCAGATGTACCTTTTTTTTTAAAAGATCTCTTTTTAAAAAGTGTGTAATTTCAAAGAACGTTATCTTTTATAGTAGCAGGCATGTTCTTTTTCCACCACCATGTCCTACTGCTCACATTAGGCACTAGGAAGAAATATGGACAAACCAAGTTGTCATGATAGCTCTCCATGAACTTGCTGCCCACAGTGACCTGTGGCATTTCTATTTTTTTTGCAGTAGCTTCTTGCCTTGAGAGTGAGATGAGGATTGGGAATCAAATTCTTGTTTCTTCCTTAGGAGTTCACAGTATGGTTCTTACAATGTCAGATGATAGAACCTGTGGGCAAGTGGCTGAAGAGATGCTTTCTATATACTTACTGAGATTAACAAAGCTTTTGGATAAGCTCTCTGAGCTTGTGCTCTGGCTGCTTTTGAATGGGTATTTTTGTGTGTGTGGAGGGGTTTTTTTGTTGTTTGTTTTGCAAGTCTTGAAAGCCTTATTTCTGCAAGGAGTCGTGGCCATGCTCTGATGTATTTGTGAGTCTTTGGAGAATTAGAGCTTGAGTGGGGTTTTTGTTTGTTTTGGTGAGGGTTTTTTTGCCTTTCAGCAAACAGCTTGCTCTTTCTTGGTGACTTGGAAATACACAGAGTATTTGTGCATTGCTGTATGATGTATACCCAATAGTATAACAGGGTTGAAAAGATTTACGCTCTTGGGTTGGAAACATAATTTGACATAATATCTGCAAACCTGCACTTTTTCTTGTCACTGTGGTTTATTTATTTATTTTTTCTTCTAGAATGGTTGCCCGGGGAAAACAGCACTGCTATGTTGGCAGAATACAGGACGTTTTTGTGAGGTTTGGGATTATTCTAACAGTCCTTTTACTTCATTTGTTCCTGGCCACAGCAAGCAAAGGTAAGACAATTTTTTCCTGATTTATACAGTGTTGGTACTACAAAAAATAGAATTAGTCTTGATGAATAGGACTTTTTAATATATTCAGACCAGACAAATTTTTGCTCTACTGAAATTAAGAGGAAAAACTGCCATTAACAAGAAATGAAACATCTGGTGCTTTGCCCTTTGGATAGACAAATTCTATGTTTAAAGTATTTGTTTTCATAAAAAAATCATCCGTAGTAACTTCTTTTTGACTATGGATGAGGAGAGAATGTAAACACAATACATAATAACAAGGTAAATCACTTCCTTGCTATTTTTTTGAACTGGAAGTGTCACTATTTTCAGAACGTGCTTTTAAATCTTTTGCAATGCTCTTACACAAACATCTCAAAATCCTGTGAGCTTCACTCAGTGCATAGAACATCTGCATTGTTCTTGGTCATGGATCTGAATAAGGCAAGGAAAAAGTAGTAGGGTCCAAAACGTAACAGAAATGATCTCTCTATATAACAGTAAATAAAAAGAAATTCATAAAAGTAGGGTCCAAAACGTAACAGAAATGATCTATTTGAATTTAACAATCTATACTCTCTATATAACAGTAAATGAAAAAGAAATTCATAAGGTTCTTGTAACAAATTGGGTAACTGAGATGGTGATGCTTTTGTATGAAGTACAGTAGAATCAGCAATCTGTGTTTTATTCATGGCTATTCTGTAAGCTGGCAGATATAAGTCTGTCACTACTCTGGACTTCAGCTGGCACGGATCACAGTGCTTGTCATTTGTAAAACTTCCTTGTACCAATAGTGTGCAATGGATTTATCATGTTAGTAATATGCATGGAATATTAAAATACTGGAAGTGGTTTTTGTCATGTACTTAATGGCTAGTTTTAGAAACTGCTTCCTGTTTCATGCCATGTTATTTTACTTTAGAAGGTCAGAGTTTCTTGCAGTTCAGATGTACTTCGTAAGTATGCCTGCTTAATGATAATGTACTAGTAATGAAATTTCATAGGTTTACAGACTAGACCAATTCTGATTCTAAGTCTGAAAATGTACTCGTTTTCATAAAATGAAGATTTTATTGAGACAGAATTTGAGATTCTGTTACTAAGACAGTGAGGTTTTAACCTCATGTACTTTAAATAGTTAAAAGAACAGGGTTGCTGAGCCGATGGGCAGATGTCATACAAGAATATGTCCAAGGAAAATTCAACTGCATCTAGAGTTATGAGGAAGCAAGTAAAGAGGGATTTCGTCTTTCACCTACGTATCACTTGCAAGTGTCAGTAATCCTTCAAGAATATCTGAATTGATCCAAGGGTTGGTTTAGGGTTCCACCCTTTTTTGTTTGTTTGTTTTGTTTTTTTAGGTTGTTAGCATTGTCAACGGTTGTTAGCATTGTCAACGGCATCTCTTCTCAGTTCTTTCCTCATCTAAGGTGCCAAAGTATGTTTATGTTCTCCAGGAAATATGAATAGAAAAGAACTGCCTGTATTCTTTCCGATGTCTAGTACACTCTGATTAATGTGGCATAGTTTATCCCCAGATGTCCAAATACAACTGTGAATGAAAAGGAGGAATGAAATGCATTTTGAGGAAGCAGTTCTTGGCTTCAGATTTCTAAAACATTCAGCAGGATCAAATGACCCATGTGTAGAAAGTTTAGAGTTTTAAACTTTAAACTGTTCTTTAGCAGTTATGAGCTCTAGGCAGAATACATTAAGGAACAAGATTCTTGAGATGTCATTTTAATGGACTGTGCAAGCCAAATGTGTTACATGTGGCAAACACTTGCATAGAAGTTAATGACTATTGCTGTTACTGGTTAAAAGGCAGATTGTGCAGACGCAAAAACTTGTCACTGTTTTTATTCAAGAGAATACTCAACTGTATTAATGCTCAACTGCACTGATACAGTAGCTATTAGTAATGTAAGCAAAGTAATGCTAGTGCTTACGTACTGAGACGATCTGCTCCTGTATGTCTAATTCTTACTACCTGTGGTTGGCTATGTCTTGTAAAGGTATCAATTATTACTATATGAAAATGTTTGAAAAAAGAGAGATTACATCTTTTGTTTATGATTGCATTACCTTGTCATTCTTAGGAAGTTTATTGTAAATGTTTGGAAGTATATGCATACATTTCAGGATTTCTTTTAGGGCTTAAGAGAACATACTTATTAAGTGGATGCTCTTAGTTTTTAGTGAGGGTAAAAACACCAGTTCTTGCATCTGTTAGAGATAAATATATTAAGAAGGAGCAATTTGCATTTCTGAAAGAGGTTAAGTCCCTGAATACAGCAAATGACATCGAAAAGTCAGGCCACAATTACTATTGCATGAGGTTTCCTTGACTCCAAATAATGATTTTTGCTTGATTTTATTACTCTAGAGCTGTTTTGAGCTTTCTTTCTACTGTGTTACCTTTTCTGTGCTATGGTGATAAAGGTATGTTCATGGCTAGGTCTCTGAATGTGATTTGTGTTATCTGGACCTGAAGGAACTAATTGTAAGCCAAGAATGGCACTACTAGAGCACAGACAGTTCCAGCTCCGTGGTTGTATGGTCATGGGTGGGATGCCGCCCACTAGTACCATTACTAGAGAAAATAAGCGATGATTAACAAAACTTCCAAAAACTTTAAAGCAATGTCATCTCCTACTTACTTTGCATCCACCCACATATTAAACAGATTTCGCCAAGATGATAATTAATTTCTAACTATTTTAAAGCTGTACTGCCTGTGCTCCACTGGGAACAGCGAAGTGCATTTTCTGACTATGGTTATGATTTCCTTTGTGCTTTTTCAGCATTCTTTGAGTAAACTGACCATATAAAATTTTATGAGCCTTTCTTGTAATAATTCCGATAGTATTGGTGTCTGTTCCCTTGACTTGGACACTGCTCTGAAGTCTGGCACTGGACCAGACTTTCCAGTTTCCAGAAAGGTAGCAAACTCTTTTATGAGTTTAAATTAATTCGTTGGGCCTTGCATATTGATAAACAAGCAGACTAGGACAATCATCAGCAGAACTGAGCTCATTCTGCATCATTTCTGTTGGTTACCTGCCTTAAGACTGTTTCCCCTTGCAAGTTTATGTCTGCTCTGGCTCCCTTGACAACTTTGTAGTGTCAGCTACCCTAACGAATGTGACAGGATTTTGCAGCCCTTTAATTATTTCACTCTTGGCACATAAGCATAATTTGTTTACTTCCAAAATCAAGTCTGCTGATGGAACTTCAAGTTTTGATTAATGGTTTTGCTCAGGAATGGATGTCTAATCTCCCAATCTGAGAAGTTAACAGTGACTTCAAGTTTGAAGTTACGTCAGGAGACTTCCTTAACTGATCATTTTGGCCATCTCTTCATGTTCAAGATTGCTTACAGGAATTTTGGAGGATATATGAGTCATGCAAGTATACTTCTGATGTATACTCTCTGAGGAACAGCAGCTGTATCAAATCTTTCAAAACCTTCAGCATAATTCCTACTGAATAATGAAAGACTTGAAAAATTATTTTTCTTTGGAGAGACTGTGTCACAGGTGTTGGCATATAACTACGTATCTATCTAGTTATTTCCATTATAAAATCAAATTTCCTCATTATCTGTCCAAACTGGAAGGTAGCAAATCTATTTTAATTGTAGTCATTTTTTTACTAAAAAGGGTAGATACCTTTGAGTCTGTATCTAAAAATCTCCACTTCTGTGGCACTTCCATTGCTTGTGCAGTCTTCCTCACTCTAGCTTTTAAGTCATGTTATAAATATTAGTTTTCTGTCATGAACTGTTCTTGGCTGAGTATAACAGATTTTGCCTGTTAGGCAGTAACAAATGGCCAAACTGAATGAGTGTATTCATGCTTTATGGTTGGACAAGGAGGAAGTAGTTCTACTGCTTGCTGTTGGGTCAAGCATGTTTTTCTTCTCCATTGCTCTAGAACCATGCTAGGTGTTACCTCTCCATTCAAAGTCCACTCTCTGGTAGTTAGGATTTTCATGTAATTCAGCCTGTACTGTGAGAGTTTTTTGTTTGATCTATAGCCTTGTATGGCACTTTCATGATGTATGTTGAACTTCAGGAATGATTCAGGGTTGTGAAAGACGCCTACAGGTTATTGCTATTTAGCATTGCAAAGAGAGTCTCAAAAGTTGTAGTGTGCAACAAGAACAGGTATCAGTGATTTTCGATGAAACTGGATTGATATATTTTGTGTTTCAAACTTTTTCTGGTAGCTTGTACCTATCAACTTGCACTTGGAAGTTAAGAACTTCCTCCTGTTTTTCATTTCTTGCTATTGAAAAAGAAATTTGAGAGCCCTGTGGTCAAGAGACAGAAAAGTTGAACGCATTCCTGATTCAGAAATTGACCTGAGGAAAGCTGGTGCACTGGTTGGTTGAGAACATCACGGAAGGGTTGGCTGTGACCTTGATAGCTAACTAGGACCATGAATGTAACCTACCTTGGGGAAAAAAAAACCTGATCCAAGTTGCCTGGAAATTTTTCTTTTCACAGCTAATGGAGAAGCTTTCCACCTCTATTGATCAATCTTTTCCTGCTGTCCAACCCTGACCAATCATGATTAGTCACATACCTCTTCTGGATGGTACATAAAAGCTCTGCATATATTGATAAATAAGTGCCTCCTTGAAGATGTCAGCAATGTGTTCTCTTACACTGACTGAGCATCTACCAGGCTGTTTCGTTTTTCTGTAGCTTCATTTCATGTCCCATAGGAGATTTTCTTAGTTTGGATTTATTTTGTATGTATGATTGTATGATTGAAATGTACGTTTTCCCACAAAATAAGAGTCAGCTGCAAAGAGCTTATGTCTACAGCCATAAATGCCTGTACTTTGCTGTAGCAGGACAGTGGAGGAAATAAGGCACCTATAAGAACATAGTAAGTTATGATCAAGTTTGAGTGTTTGGGGAATTCTCTGGCACTGTTTGTTTTAACAGCACTGACAGAGCCTGACACCTTATTTTCACCAGCAAATTTACTGTTAGCACCTAAAATTCTGTTTACTGTCACAACTGAACTCTGGATTGCCATCATCTCAATGCCTTAGTAGATGTGAGATTCACAGACCAGATGTCTCTGCAAGTAAGTGCTCTGGTAGAGAACAGGGAATGGGGGCTGAATGGGATTAAATTTAAAATAAACCAGTGGCTCCAAAACACATTTCCTGAAAGTTGCTTAAACTCATTGTCTTATAGAATATGGCTGTTTTCTGCCTTTCCTGCTAAAACTCTGCCAGTATGCGGCAGAGTATTTAAGAATTTCAGGGTTGGAAAAAAAAGGCGTGTCCAGAGAAGCACTATGCAAGGCTGGGACATGAAAAGGTAGTAAGGACTATAGTCCCTTTTTCTAGCTCTGTTTCTGTATTTTATCCAGTATCTATTAAATGCAAAATACCTGTGCAGTTCTGGGAATAGGAACCAAGATCTGTGATTCAGCCCTGAAGAAAAAGACTTGAGGGTGTTGGATGAGAAGCTCAGCATGAGCCGGCAATGTGTGCTGGCAGCCCAGAAGGCCAGTCTCATCCTGGGCTGCATCCAAACAAGTGTGGCCAGCAGGTCCAGGGAGGTGATTCTACTCCTCTACTCTACTCTGGTGAGACCCCACCCGGAGTACTGCATCCAGCTCTGGAGCCCTCAAAACAGGAAAGACAACGACTTGTTGGAACGAGTCCAGCAGAGGGCCACAAAGATGATTAGAGGGCTTGAGCACCTCTGCTATGAGGACAGACTGAGAGAGTTGAGGTTGTTCCACCAGGAGAAGTCTCTGGGGAGACCTTATAGCATACTTCCATTACCTAAAGGGGGCCTACAGGAAAGGTGAGGAGGGATGCTTTTCAGCTCTGGAGCCCTCAAAACAGGAAAGACAACGACTTGTTGGAACGAGTCCAGCAGAGGGCCACAAAGATGATTAGAGGGCTTGAGCACCTCTGCTATGAGGACAGACTGAGAGAGTTGAGGTTGTTCCACCAGGAGAAGTCTCTGGGGAGACCTTATAGCATACTTCCATTACCTAAAGGGGGCCTACAGGAAAGGTGAGGAGGGATGCTTTTTCAGAGAGTGGAGCCATAGGACGAGGGGGAACAGTTTTAAACTGAAAGAGGGGAGATTTAGATTAGATATCAGGAAGAAATTCTTTACTGTGAGGGTGGTGAGGCACTGGAATAGGTTACCCAGAGAACTCATGGATACCCGATCCCTGGAAGTGTTTAAGGCCAGGTTGGATGGGGCTTTGAGCAACCTGGTCTAGTGGGAGGTGTCCCTGCCCATGGCAGGGGGGTTGGAACTCGATGGTCTTTAAGGTCCCTTCTAACCCAAACCATTCTATGGTTCCATGATTCTCTTTTTTCCTTGTCATTTGAGTCCTGCCTTAGGGAGCCACATGGATATCCTTCATCTTGTGCATGAGTTTTACTTTGAAGCTTTCATGAGCAGCTAGGATTTATTGACTGCCTCCAAATTTGCTGCTTCCCCACCACAAAAAAAATCCAAAAGATAAGGATACAAGATTTTTTCTTAATGCGTTGTTTTGAAAACTCCTAGGTTAATGCCTAGGAACAGTATTATATGGAAGAATAGCATTCATATAGATGAGCCTTTTAAAAACAAAATCATTTTACAAATCACCTTTTCTTTATTTAGATCAGGAGGATTTCCTAGGACGCTATAAAGCCATCTTTAAGACTGCATGTGAAGATCCTTGGATTATGTCACCAAGAATTTCTCTGCATCCCTTGAAAGAATTCATTGTCTGTGTGCACCTCAAGCTATATTCCTCAAATAGTCCCTGGACAGCGTATGTATACAGCCAGGAAACATCTCACAGCAATGTCTCTGCAAATAAGTATGATCTTGGACTTATAGGAGATCACGGTAAATTGAGGATATGGTTGTTTGGAAAACAAATACATACAACAGCAAGACTTCGTGACAACACTTGGAATGACATATGTATCCAGTGGAAAAGTGAAGATGAAGAGATGAAGGTATTTATAAATAGAACAAAAAAATTAAGCAAAAAAATAACTGGGAAAGTTAATCTCCCTGGAAAAGGACAGTTCTTACTTGGCTGTTCAAAGCTGCCAGGTACAGCTATATCACCTAACCTGGGTATGACAGGGGAGCTCTACATGTTCAGAATGTGGGATAAAGCAAATATAAAGCAATCGGAGGACTGTGAAGATAGTGGTGTTATACGCTGGAGAAAGGAGGATTGGGTCTATAATAAGACCATAGAAGAGGATAACTCTTTGCCATGTGGTAAGTATCCTTGCACCCCTGTTTTTAAAATTGTATTTATGTCAAAAGTTGATCTGAATGTGATTTCTGTTCCAGATTTCACAAAGTCTTTGTCTATTGGTCATTTCTAGCTAAATGCTTAATAAGATCATGTGAGAATCTACGGATTACACCAGCTTTTATCCAAATATAAAAAACCATAGCAGCAGTCCTTTAAAGACTTTCAACTTGCTTCAACTTTTGTGTCTGTCTACTGCCCATGTAATGGTAATGAGATCAGGATGCATCCAACCAAAACTCCTTGGAGTATTACAGCTTTCTACCAATGTCATCTTAAAATAATTGATTTTCACACGTTCTATGCAGGGAATAGAGGAAAGCATTGCTGGTCCTCATTTTGTGCATTCACTGGCCAGAACTTCAGTGACTCAATTTTTCACTGTTTCACTGGCACAGTACACCGTCTTTCGCTGGTATGATTACTGAAGGCTCTGATTTCTTCTTGGTTTTGTATCAGTAATGTCTTCCTTTATTATTTGTTCTTTTATTAAAATGACCAAATGATTCCTCACACGTTTCTCGAAATTCCTCTCTGCCCTGAAAAAAAACAATAAGAAGCTTTAAACGAAACCAAAATAAGAAATTATTTTCAGAGAAATTGAATTTTTATATGGTTGAAAACAAGAGTTAAAGCAAGAGAATAATCTTCTTTCTAGTTTTTGCTGTCTTACATGTTGACATGAAAGGCAACTTGAATCAAGCTTGGATGGGATCTAATTTACCAACCATAGTAAATGGTATTACCCCCTAAGGCCTTCAGGGATTTTAAAGTGACTAGCTCAATTGGTTCCTAAAATTTTTATGTAGCATAGATGCTTCAGTTAAATTTAACCTAAGTCGTCATCGCCTTGTCCACTGTACCCATCTGCTTTGTGCAGAGTGAAAAATATCGTTTAGCTACGTAATGTTACAATCACTGCCTGACTGGGTAGATTAAAAGTGTTTTAGTAAGGCCATTAAAATAAGGAGACCAGATTTCTTTTTCTGGGAGAGAAAGAAAGCTGTCCGACAAACCAGTACCTGTGGAGAATGCCTCTAACACCGGGTAATAATGAATGAAATGCCTCTGCTGGCCTGATACTGTAGTTGAGAGCACATCTTCTCTGTTGAGTTGAGTGATTTGGGAGAGGAGCTGAAGAAAGGATGTCTTTCTTTTGCTCATATGTGAATTTGAAGGAACACAGTCCTAGGGCTGAAAGAGGGAGCATTCTGGCTGCCAGACAAAAGTTTGGTAGAAAGAAAGTGTGAGAGAGATCTGTCTGGATAGCGGATAAATCCTGCTTAGAGTGAAGCATTTGATTATATTTCACTGAGGCACAGCAAGGACAACCTTCTTGTTTGGAGTTCCAGCACTTTCTGCCCTGAATGTAGAGCATCCTTGTGCATCACAGGGCAGCTTGGTTAGGCAATGCCCAACTCCAGCCCCAGGTGATTAATAATTTTAGAATTGGTAATTTGGGGGCTTGTGGAATCCTTTGTCTCACTGCATGGGCTCTCTTGCGAGTGTGTAAGATGCATGGCTTCCAGAGTTCTTTTACTTAGTCAGATTTAATTTTGATTATGCTGACAGAAGTTTGTTTCAGTACAGAGGCCATCTGTACAGCCAAATATAAGTTTTCTGCTCTAGGTAACTTGGAAGAATAACAGCTTTTTGAAGAATAGTTCATTGGATATTTTTTTTTAACAGTTTATTTGCCTGTTTTCAGGAAAAGGTGCATTTTGGCTCATTGCCATCCTGCTCCAGGTCAGCCTGTGAAAGGCATATATTTAACAAATGTCAGTCCAACAATTAAGCAAAAAACAAAGCCTTGAGAGTAACAGCATATACTAGGCATATAATTAGGCAATTTTAACAGATGGTGCAACTAGTCTTACAATTTGATTTCTTTCTATAAGTTCCTCTGTGCACCTGTGTAAAATATCCAGTTTTGGGGGCTTCTATGTTTTTTTTTAAAAGAGAAGGACTTTGAGTAGTAAGTCTTCAGAAAGGTCTGATTTTGCATGCTCAAAGAACATAACTGGTGATAGGCTAAAGCTTGGGAAATGTCTATGCCTCCTGGGTAGGCACAAATGATGAAAAGGAAGTGTTTCATTACAGTCATAATTGTGCTTGAGGACAAATTTCAGAGTTGTTTTTATGACTTGGTTGGCATTTTGTGCCTACATAAAACAATGATTTGTAAAATGTTCAGTCAAAGTTTACCATGGTCTCTATGATTTCTCCTTTGCTTAACTGCTCAAAATCTTTGTGCAGTAAGGCATTATCTAGTTGATGTCTCATAGACAGTGATGCACTCCCTTACTAAGTCTAGAGTTACTTAATGTCACATTATTGGCTTATGTTTCCTTACCTCCTTTTCCCACCTTTCTTTTTGTTCTTTAGGTTCTTTTGGTTTTATTATTTATTTTTATAATAATAATTCAGATTACCAAAAAAGTATTTAGTTTTTTTTCTTAACCATGTGAGTTCTAATAAGGACCAGAATCCTGATTCTGGTAAGATTTACACGCATGCTTAGCACTTAAAGCTATGCTCTACTTGAACCAAGTAATTAGCTCCTCATGAGTGGCTGGGATTACCTTTGCAATAGGTATGTATCTTATGCATCTGTAGGTTTGCAAGAAAGGACATGTCTGACTGCTTCTGTGTTTGTGGTGAGGGCTGATTGCATTTCTTGGGCTAACGGAACTTAGCACAGAACTTTTACATCTGACTTAAAGATGCAACTCTTGCGTCTTCCAGTCACAGTCTTCTGGTTCTTCTCTGCTTGGTGTAGCCATTGCACACTGAGCAGGTGTAAATATTGCAGGTAGGGCCAAAGAGGGAAGGAGGCCCCACACGTTGTGCGTCACTAACCTTCCACTTACATTCCTCAAGTTCCTTTGATAATTCCCCTTTTGCTGAGAATGAGAAGTAGCCTAACAGCTGTGATACAGCAAAAGAGTACCACAGGTTGAATGTATCTCACTTTAAAGATTGTCTCCTGGTATTTAAAAATACTTAAGTGAAGAAAGATGTGCTCACTGTATCAAATGCAATGCCAGCTTTGGAAAATTTCTTTATCTTGCTTCTTGATGAATGATTCCTGTTTAGCTACATACTTTAATGTGGACAATATGAGTGATATCACTATTGTCTCTGCATAATCCAAGAAGAGACAAGAGATAGAAAGACCCAAGAAAATAAGTGAGGTTAAAATGGTAAATACTAGAAAAAAAACTTTAGTCATCTGTGAGCACCAGCTTTCCGGTTGTCATTTTTACATGGGATATTTGCAAGTTGCCTTTAGTAATAACTTGACAACTGGAAGAATTTTCTGTGTAAACATTAATCATTTCAGTTACACATTAAGCAGTAACATTCTTAATCCAAATATAAAACTGTTACACTGTGCATTTACGCAAGGAGCACAGAGATGACGGGATATCTTTTACAAATTTCAGTGAATAAATAAAATAGATGATTTATGGCATAACTATAAATAGTATCACTGATAGTAAAGCACTGTCATCTTGTTTGTGGTATCCGTGCTCTAACTTTTAGCAGGAGTCCAGTGCCCGTTGCTATAACAGTGTTTATATTGCGACATTTTAGATTTTTCTAAACTGTCCCGTCCAAGCTTCAAGATGAAGGTGTTGCATCCTCTTTTCCATGTATCCTTTTCACTGCCAATACCGCTGAGCCTGCTGCTGGTGTTGCTATAGGAGGTTTCCAGGCTTGTGGGAGCACAGCAGTTTAATGCTGATGGGAGAGATGGGAGGTGACCGGTGCCCTGTGTAACTGTCTTGGCATTGCATGCTCAAGGAAGAGGAAAACTTCAGTTTGGGCTGTTCTAGTTTGCAGGTGTGGGTAATAGGAGTTTATGTAATCCCTTTTAAAGATTTCCTGAGCTGTGTGTGCTTCTGATGACAGGATCGGCTTCCCTGGAAAGGAGGGCAGAGTCCCAAAACTTTACCTTCTCAGGCAGAAGGTGGAAATGTGGCATAGTGGCCACTTGTCCACTCATCTGGTCTGCACTTAAGTCTGTCGTGTACCAAACTTTGGGCCATATTGTTACATTTACTGAGTGGATTATGAGTGCTGTAGGTGAAAAGATAAATTATTTGCCCCAATACTGTTTTCTTCCTAAAACTATATGGACAGATTAGCACAGAAACCTTGAGAAGCTCTTAAAGGAAGTAAATGTGACGGGGAAAAAAATACCTTACTCTGGAGTGCCTATTTGATGAGTCATGTACCAGTCTACTTTGCACCTATTAACAGAATGCATGTTTGACCTTCCCTTTCTTTGCTCTTGTTGCCTCACTCTTTTGTGTTATCAAAGGAAGTAGCTTTTTGGAAGTGAGACTGCCAGAGAAAAGGTGATTTGATTCACCTCAGTACCTAATGTACAGCTTTATACAAATGGAACTTTATACAAGCTGATAAAAACTGTATCTATAACCCCATTTCCTAAAAATCTGTGTAACATCAAAGCTGAGTTAAAAATATTGCACCTAAATTTTCTGTTAAGGATACCAAAATGTAGTCAAAGTGACAGAGCCTGATGTGAACAAGCACCTTCATTATTTTCTTAGATTTCCTTCTGTCCAATAGTGAGTGATAATTCATCCTTTCTTCCATGGTGCCATGGCTAAGAGTCAAAGCATATATGAGGTGTAATGAGAGGCACCAAAACATAAAATTAAGATTGCACCTAGTTTTATCCTATAAACTTGTACAATGTGCCTCAAAATCTGACTTACATAAGTTGATACGGGCTAATACCTATAATAGAGCAATTGGGGAGGATTTTTACGTGTTGCTGTTACTAATGCCTTGTGTGACAGGGTGGTTCATTTTGGCAGAATGTTTATCTAGCTGAAAGGTTTATCAAATGTTAAAGGGACACAATCTCTTAATAGAAATATGGTTTTAATTTGAATATCAGAATTGAATATCGTATTTTTGGCGCCTGTTT